CAAAAATACTTCAAAACATTAGAAGATGATGATGCCCAAATAACATTCAAGATTTGAGAACAAAAACTGATAAACATATAGGTAAAATCAGAATAAACATTGCCTGGGTAGAAGGATAATAATGGTGCCCAACTTACATATTTTAAAAGACTAAAATGAAACACTGGAAACATAATGTAAGCCAAGAGGGTAAAGACTGGAGCTAAGGTATTCTGCAGTGCATTTACTTTGGGAACGGGGTCAGAACATTAACCTCTGGAATATGCAATTAAATCTGCACAGCTGGGATGCCTGGGTGGCTGAGCAGTCGAGCACCTGCCTTCGACCCAGAGCATGATCCTCGAGTCCCAGGATGGAGTCCCACACCGGGCTCCCTGCATGGCACCTGCTTCTCTCTCTGCCTAGGTCTCTGCCTCTCTCTCTGTCTCTCATGAATAAATAAAATATTTTTTTAAAAATCGGCACAGTAAAATTTCAGTGCTAACCACTGAATGAACAGAAATGGAGTGTTCAAATTAGTAAAGAAAAAAAAAAGCTGGGGCAATCAACAATAGTAACTAAGGAATCTTAAAGGCAAAAGAGGGAAAAACAATGAAAGGCCAAAATATGAGACCAATAAAGGCCAATAAAATGACAGAAACCAGTCCGACAACATCTAAAATTCTAAGAACTATGAATGGCTTAAACTTTCCAGTAAGACAACTCAAACTGGGTTAAAAAAAAAAAACAACAATCTAGGGGTGCTTAGGTGGTTCAGTTGATTAAGCATCTGACTGACTCTTGGTTTCAGCTCAGGTCATGATATCAGGGTCCTGGAATGAAGCCCCACATTGGGTTCCATGCTCAGCATGGAGTCTGCTTGTGCTCTCTCCCTCTGCTCCCTGAGCCCCCCACCACTCTCTCTCTGGAATAAAATCTTTACAAACAAACAAAAACAACAACATACCTTTATAGTTTTTAAGATACATATCTGTCCAAAGCATTAAAAGAGCAGAGAAACCTGACCACAAAGGCATGGAAAACAAATACTACAAGTACAGAGAAATTAAGATAAATATATCATTCTAATGGACAATCTCAAGATCTTCTCTCTTAAGTTAAAGCAAACCAAAAACTCAGTAAGGTAGGTCAAGATTTGAACAACATAACCACAGAGCTTTATCTAAGAAATGCAAAATCCCCAATCCAACAATTATGCACATGGAAGATGTGCAAAACTGTCTTAAGTCTTAACAATTTTCAAAAAACATGTATTACACAGGTCACACTGACACAATGCAATTAAGTCAAGAGTACATAATAAAAAAGACAAAAACAAATCTTCCATATATGTCAGTTACAAACATTTCCAAATAACTCAAGCCAAAGATATAGCAGAAATTAAAGATTGATAATGAAAACATTCTACATCAAAATTTGTAATATGCAACAAAAGTGGTATCAAGAGAAATTTACAGCTTAAATGCTTACATTTGACAGGACAAACTGAGCTAAATTAATAATTAAAAATATAGATGGATATATTAAAAATACCAGAAACCAAGGAAACAGAAAAGCAAGACATCAAAAGAGAATCAATAGAGCCAGAATTATTGTTAAGTCTTTGAACACATTAGCAAAAATAAACTTCTGGTGACAGACTAAGTAAGCCAAGAAAAAAACATAAATAGCATGAATACCATGAGCCAGTACACTCGTAAAAATACAGAGGCCAGAGAGATGAAAGAACGCTAACAACTCATGCCAATACATGTGTGAGTATTTGATTTTTAAAAACGAGTCACAAAGATATAAAACAGTGAGTGAGCATAGTAATTAACCACTGTTTGCAGAATGTCACTTTGCACTTGCGAATAAATCAATTCAGTGAGAATAATAAGTCTCATCAGATGTACTTATTACCATTTCAAATTCTTAACCTTTTACTTTAAAACAAAATAGTAATATGGAGAACCACACAAACAGTAATTCAATGAATTTTATAAGGCAAAACATCCTCGCAACCACCATCTAGGTCAAGAAAACAGAACTGTGCCAACCACCCCGGAAACTTTTCTGCATCTCCATCAGTCCTCGCCTAAAGTAACTTATGCCTTTTTTTAAATTTTTATTTATTTATTAATGAGACACACACAGAGAGAGAGGCAGAGGCACAGGCAGAGGGAAAGGCAGGCTCCATGCAGGGAGCCCAACATGGGACTCGATCCTGGGCCTCCAGGATCACGTCCTGGGCCAAAGTCAGCCCGGGCTGACCCCATTTATGCCTTTTTTGGTAACTTAAAATTCCTTTGTGGCTTTTTCACACAAGTGTGCATCTCTAGACATTATAGTTTAACCTTGCACCTTGTTATTTTGTCTCTTAATTTAGAATTCCCAGGTTGTCTGACCTACATGGAGTGCCAGAGACTGTTCTTTGCCAGTTGAACATTCATGATGTGACAACCATCATATTCCCCTGGCCTCTGAACTTCCTGCAAATTGACTGCTAAATCAGAGCCCTCACTCATCACTCAGGTTCAAATCCTCTGGCAAGACTAAGATAGTTTTATTCTTTCATCTGGATGCATGAAATGGCTGTTTTTCACTTTTCAAGTAGCCATCAATCATCTAGTGCCTAGATTCATTAATTCACTGAGCTGAGGGAAAAAAAAAGCCCAAAAAGCTATAATTCTATCATTCTGTTTTCACTTATTAGCTGGAGTAATTTAAAAAATGTTTTCCAAAAAAAAATAAAAAAATAAAATAAAATAAAATAAAATAAAATAAAATAAAATAAAATAAAAATAAAAAATGTTTTCCGGGGGATCCCTGGGTGGCGCAGTGGTTTGGCGCCTGCCTTTGGCCCAGGGCGCGATCCTGGAGACACGGGATCGAATCCCACGTCGGGCTCCCGGTGCATGGAGACTGCTTCTCCCTCTGCCTGTGTCTCTGCCCCGCCCCCCCGTGACTATCATAAATAAATAAAAATTTAAAAAAATAAAAATAAATTTAAAAATGTTTTCCAGGAAGCCCCAATGGCCCAGAAGTTTGGTGCCACCTTCAGCCCAGGGCGTGATCTTGGGAGACCTGGGATCCAGTGCCTCGTCAGGCTCCCTGCATGGAACCTGCTTCTCCATCTGCCTGTGTCTCTGCCTTTCTCTGTGTGTCTCTCATGAATAAATAAATAAAATCTTAAAAAAAAAAAAAAATGTTTTCCAAGCAGTGCCTGGCTGATTCACTCAGAAGACTGTAACTCAACCTCAGGGTCAAGTGTTCAAGCTCCATGCTAGGCAGTTTATTACAAACAAAAAAAAAAAAAAAACAATAACGAAAAAAAAATCTTTCCTCGTTGACTACATAAAGGATTGTAAATGTTTTCTATTTCAAGTTGTGGGGGCTATATGGTCTGCTGCAGCTATTCAACTCTGGGGATACAGTACAAAAGCAACCATAGACAATACATGCATGAATGAGCATGGCTTGGTTCCAATAAAACTATTTACAAAAACAAATGCTAACTCCTATACTATTTGGTTACACAGGGACATCATTCTTTAACAAAAAGATAATATAAATGCTCAATAATTTTATTCATCCAGTTTTCAAGACAATGAATTAGTATCTATTATCTTACAGAAAGTGACCAATTAAGGATTTACTTTTAAAAAATATGAGATCATGGATTTAAACCTGTTAGATGAGCTTTAATACACTGCAATTCTTATCCTTACTGAAGCTCAAATGCTTTCCAATTGCTATTAACAAACTGGCCCACCTATACTTTCTAGTTTGTACCTATCGGCTGTTTTGGAATTTTCCTTTTCTCAGGTCCATCGTTTACTGGAATTGCATATAATGCTGACATGGGATTTTTAAAAAAGAGAATGAAAAGACAAACATAGAATGGAATCACTAGGGCTTTATGAAACAAATTTGAAATGAACCTGGAACAGCTTCAAAAACACAGGGAGGAATGAAAAAATGTATGCTAGCATTAGAAAATGTAAGTCAGAATAACATGACAAGCATTCAGTTCAGGTGGGGTTTTTAAATGGAGACCTCAGTTGAAAACACAGAAAACTAGGACCTTTCCTGACAGGAACAGAAGAAGAGATTGGAGAGCAATGAAGAATGACTGGGCCCAGAGACCAGATATCCAAACTGCCAAAAGACCATGCCGATGGCATCAATCCCAGACAGTGCATGAGGTGGAAACATAATGCTCTCCAGGAGTCACATGATCAGAGTCACACTTTAGACAGGAAAGTGTACTGGAAATGGGGAGGGTCGTGGGGGTCGAGAGAAAAGAAGCAGAAAGATCAGCTCAAGGCTAACTGCAGTCTGTCAGGAACAAAAGAATAAAGTAGGGCCACTTGGAACAATAAGGCAGATCCTGGCAGGTGAAAGACAAGATGCTAAGAAAGGAGGTTTAAAGATGCAATCCAAGTTCAAGAGAACAGGGATAGGATTAATTAAAAAAAAAAAAAAAAGAAGAAGAAGTATCTATGTATCTCTAACTAGGAACTTCTTTAAGACAGCAAAATACTCATAATTATTAAGGCAACTGGGTTCTTGGGAATTCACTGCACTATTCTTCCCACTGTTAAGAACACTGAAAATTAAAAAAATAAAAAAAAATAAAAAAAAAAAAGAACACTGAAAATTTCCATAATAAAAAGACTTAAAATTCTAAAATGTGTAGGCACAGACTTTCCTCATGATTCTTCCTCATTCTATTGTTGGGCCTAACAAGCACTCTTCTCATAGGGCTAACATTTTGGGACGTCTGGGTGGCTTAGCAGTTGAGCACCTGCCCCTGGCTCAGGGCGTGATCCATGGTCTCAGATCGAGTCCCACATCAGGCTCCCTGCCTAGAGCCTGCTTCTTTCTCTACCTACGTCTCTGCCTTTCTTTCTCTGTGTCTTTCGTGAATAAATAAAATCTTAAAAAAAAAAAAAAAAAAAGAAAGAGAACATTTCACACCCACTGGCAAATATTTAATGCCTCATAAAAATTATTACCTTGGCTTTTTTCTATATTATCTCCCTTTGTTTCCTCTTCTTTAATGGGGGGACTTATTCTGGGGGTCCTGCTTTGCCCTTGGACCATTTCTGCCAGCAATTCTTCTTGAGAAGTTCGAGTTCTGGGAGCAACTGGAAGGGTCTGTTTCTGTGAGACTTTTTAAAAGGAAAAAAAAAATCGAAATGCAGATTCAGTAATACATCAAAACTGAACGGTAAATAAGTCCTATTAAACATAAATGCCTCCTTGAGTTTAGAACATATGAAAATTTTGAAACAGTTCATAGATAACACCTTTTTTCTTACAATATTCCAGAGAGACAAACACCTGACTTCTCTATATATTTTAAACCACAAGCCATAAATATACTGCCACACACATGTATTTATTTTTAACCAAATGTAGTTTAAATTTTGCTTCATGATCATGTTAATAACTTCAAGTTATAATTTACATAATAAAGTTCAAGAATGAACTTCAATGATGTTTCTCAAAACTACTTGGGGAGTCTCCCATAATTCTAAAAATGGGAGCTCCTGGGTGTTTTAGTTGGTTAAGCATCTGACTCTTCATTTCTGCTGAAGTCATGATCTAAGGGTCATGAGATCGCTCCCACATTAGGCTCTGCGTTCAGTCTCTGCTTATCCATCTCCCTCCCCATCCTTAAATCAATAAAAATTAAAATTAAAAAATAATAAAAATAAAAACAGGAAATTTCAAACTCAGCAAGTAAAATTCTCTACAACTCTCATCATTGTGGGGCACGTGGGTGGCTCAGTGGTTGACATCTGCCTTTGGCTCAGGCCTTAATCCTGGGGTCCTGGGATTGAATGCTGCAATGGGCTCCCCATAGGAAGCCTGCTTCTCCCTCTGCCTGTGTCTCTGCCTCTGTGTCTCTCATGAATAAATAATAAAAAAATTAATTAATTAATTAATTAAATGAATAAATAAATAAAATCTTAAAAAAAAGTCTCATCATTGTAAAACACTCAATATTGTGGACAAAGAAATGAAATGTAAATAGATTAGCTCTAGTTTTTGGCTTTTGCTTGACAATACTTATAAGCTAAAACCTGTTTAATTTTATGTTCAAGATTAAGTCAGAAGTGAAAAAAAAAGATTAAAGTCAGAAATGAGAAAAGAGGACAGATACCTGTGAGGTTCAAAAAGTGATAACTTACAATTTACTTCACTTTTGGAAGGGATCACAAAAAGAGATACAAAAGAGAATGAAAAAGTAGAAAAATTCTAAAAGAACAGTCATCAAACCCATAGCAAAAATACAAGAAAAAATTTTAGGGACGCCTGAGTGGCTCAGTGGTTGACCGTCTGCCTTTAGCTCAGGCCGAGATCCTGGGTCCAGGGATCAAGTCCCACACTGGGCTCCCTGCAAGGAGCCTGCTTCTCCCTCTGCCTGTGTCTCTCTCTCTCATGAATAAATACATAAATCTTTAAACAATAAAAATATAATCTTTTAAAAAAACTTAAGAGTGGGCAATTGTATTTTTTTGAGTTTTTTTTACAAGCATTTATTTATTTATTTATTTATTTATTTACTTATTTATTTGCAGAGAGATAGAGCTAAACAGCAGGGGGAGAGGGAGAGGAAGAGGAAGAAGCAGGCTCCCCACTGAGCAGGGAGTGAGATGTGGGGCTTGATCCAGGACCCTGGAATCATGACCTGAGCTAGAGGCAGACGCTTAACCAACTAAGCCACCCAAGGGGCCCCAATCATCAGAAAGTTTTACAATGACTATAGCACATGGGGCAGAGTACAAAACCTAATGACAATATGGCACCCATCGGCACCCATTATTTAGTTCGCATTTCAGAACAAGCTTTCTGTAAGGTCAGATTATATGTTTTAAAAACATGCAATCCTCTTTTATTCCCTCATAAAAAATGTAGTACTCCCACTAGGACTGGGGTAGGAACATCACCAATGCGTCAATTCTCTGCCTTATATTCCACTAATCAGTTCCACTGAAAGCAAAGAAGCCAACCTACTCATGCACTAGCTAACTTTTTCTAACTCTGACCTCTTAATATCCTACTGCGCTCCTTTTTATATATCATAAGTTCCTATCAAATGTTGACTACAGGGCAGCCCAGGTGGCTCAGTGGTTTAGCGCTGCCTTCAGACCAGGGCATGATCCTGGAGACCTGGGATTGAGTCCCACATCAGGCTCCCTGCATGAACCTGCTTCTCCGTCTGCCTCTGTCTCTCTCATGAATAAATAAAATCTTTAAAAAAAAAAAAAAAGAGAAATACTGAAGTCTCCAACTATAATTATAAAAAAAAAAAGAAAAAGAAAAAGAAAAAGAAAAAGAAAGAAAGGAAAGGAAAGGAAAGGAAAGGAAAGGAAAGGAAAGGAAAGGAAAGGAAAGGAAAGGAAAGGAAAGGAAAGGAAAGGAAAAAAAGAAAAGAGAAAAGAGAAAAGAAAACTCAGGATGCCTGGGTGGCTCAGTGACTGAGTGTCTGCCTTTGGGTCAGGGCACGATCCCAGGGTCCCGGGATTGAGTTCAACATCAGGTTCCCTGCAGGGAGAGCCTGCTTCTCCCTCTGCCTGTGTCTCTGCCTCTCTCATGAATAAATAAATAAAATCTTTACTCACTTAATGTAAACATAATACATTTAAATTACCTGTAGAATAGTTAGTTGTTTTTGTTACAGATTCTTGAGCTTCAGATATAGCCTTCAAAATTAGATTCTTGTTAGCTTGTTTAGAAGGTGGAAGTGAAGGTCTAAAAAAATTAAAGGTATTTTGATTAAATTTTAGATTTGAGTTCTTTACATGCTAGCCATCTATTAGCCCCTTACAGCCTTCTCTTTGGTTTTGAACAGACTAGCTGTAGTTTTTAGGAAATGTCAATTAGACTAAAACCTTTTAACTTTTTAAATAATGAATCTGGATCACCCCTGCCCCCATATTACAGATTTTAGTATTCTCTGCAGTCTTATCCAATTTTAATCAATTTCTCTCTCAATAATCTGTGTCTCAAAAGCCAACAGGAAAGTCTTGAACGCTATTAAATTTTTATTTTCATGATATCCTCTTCAAGAAACCCAGAAGATTCCATCAGGCAATTAAAGATTAATTTACAGACAATGGTCAAGGTACCTCCTTTCAGGCTTTGCTGGCACTGACACACTGCTGGAGATGCTTCCTGTACGAGACCCACAATCATCATCTTCCTCCTCCTCTTCTCCATCATGATTGAACTTTTTTACTTTAACAACTGAACTTACCACAGGCAACTTTCTCTTCCGAAAGTTTTCTTCCTGCAATCAGATAAATTTACGCTTACCTAGTCTCAAAAAAAAAAAACAAAGTTCTACCACAATATTTTTTTCCAAGAAAAAGTCAATCATATCAAGAATTCACAAGCTATTTCCTGATATCTTATAAAAATATATTATCCCTAATAGCCAATCTTTAATTAAAATAAAAACTAGTGCTTTACATTCACTTATAAATAGCAGCACAAAGCACTGTTGAGGAAACTAAAAAAAATTTAATTATTTTGTTGTTTACTAATAATTCTCATGGAAAATCTAAAATTGACCTAAGATCCCCCCCAAATTATAAGGTAAGGTTACAGTTATCTCAAATGTTGGTATCCTGGAAAGTAAAACAAGATGTCAAGTATTGGTAGAAGGCAGTCATGGAGTGGAAAATCTGGTGTAGTATGTTGAGTAGCACAGAAATTAAAGTTAACTTGCAATGTTTAAGTTCATGGAGCTCCCTGCATGGAGCCTGCTTCTCCCTCTGCCTGTGTCTCTTACGAATTTAATAAAATATTTTTTAAAAATGTGTTTAGTTATTTCACATATATTTAGTACTAGGAAGTGCCAATTTCCAGCCCAAAAAGCCAGAATTTATAGGCACCTGGCTAATCAGTCAGTAGAGCACGTGATTCTTGATTTCAAGGCTGCAAATACAAGCCCCGTGTTGGGCACGTAGCTTACTTTAAAAAATAATTTTTAAGGGATCCCTGGGTGGCGCAGTGGTTTAGCGCCTGCCTTTGGCCCAGGGCGCGATCCTGGAGACCCAGGATCGAATCCCACGTTGGGCTCCCGGTGCATGGAGCCTGCTTCTCCCTCTGCCTATGTCTCTGCCCCCCCCCCCCCGCCCTCTCTCTCTCTGTGTGTGACTATCATAAATAAATAAAAATTAAAAAAATAATAATTTTTAAAATGAAAAAAAAAAGTATATACAAACCTCAATACTCATTTTTTCTGAGTTGTTTCTGAAGAAAGGACTGTAAGTATCTTCTAAGCTGTTAAGCACTTCTGGTTCACACAAACGTCCTGTTTCATATACCCGGCTGTTCTGTATATCAGGTTGCTTGGCAGCATGAATATTGTTTTGCTGCTGCTGAAATTGCAACCTGTTTAAATGAGCACCACTATCTGCATTTCGACTTGCAGGTGGTCGATAAATTTCAATAGAAGGGCGAGAAGAACCATATGTAAGTGTCACTGTAGGTTTTTTCTGAGATAAGGGATTCTCCTGCACAAAATTGAGGTCTTCATCAATGAGATCATCTGGTTCTGGCTTAATATCAATCACATCTTCAGAGGGTGCTGGTTCCCTCAGAGGCTTCACAGTTGACATTAACCGGGTTGCAGCTCCATCATCGTAAGTCTGTCTATTTAAAAACACACACACATACACACACAAAACTATAACCAACTTAGATCAGTATCTTTAAAGAATTTACTTAAATTTTAATGAAAAAGTTTAGACACTCCCTTTATGTATTCCATTAAAAACTACTTTAAAATTATATTCTTTTTAAAACCTTTGATTTAGGGATCCCTGGGTGGCGCAGCAGTTTAGTGCCTGCCTTTGGCTCAGAGCATGAGCCCAGAGTCCCAGGATCAAGTCCCACATCAGGCTTCCTGCATGGAGCCTGCTTCTCCCTCTGCCTATGTCTCTGCCTCTGTCTCTGCCTCTATCTCTGTGTCTCTCATGAATAAATAAAGTATTTAAAAAATAAAAATACATAAATAAAAATTTTGATTTACTATATGAGGTAAGAGATAATCATACTTAGGTCTTACCATATTTTATTCAAAAAATTTGCTCATGACCACCTTATTATGCCCCCAAATTTCTGAAAACAGAAATTTAAAGATATAAAAACTAATGTCAAGGTCGCATACACACACCTATCTATGCACAGCAGGTCTACATAGGACTCTTACCTGACATTAGTGGTTTTCTGCTCCTGTGAACTAGTAGAAACCCTGGAGTCTCGTTTTTCAGGTCTAGTGCTAGCAACCGCAAGAGGTGGCACTGCAGCTTCATGCCTTCTCTCATCCCCCCGACTGAAACTGCTCTTGTTTGAAGACACGTTATTATCAAAGATGTTGGTATCAGAAGACTTTAGACTAGAAGGGTCTGGAAAGAAAAACACATGATCCTTTTAAGCTATTTTTAGTACTTTGAACCTTCCCCCTCTTTATCACCAATTTAAAAGCATTGTGTTCTTCCATAACACTTTTAATGGCTGAATATTACTCCTTATGTAGCTAATATAATAATTCAATTTATTATTACTGAACTTTTAAGTAATTTTCCATTATAAAATATTTAAACATCCTTGGGGCCCCTGGGTGGCTCAGCCAGTTGAGTGACTGATTTGTGATTTCAACTCATGTGGTGATCTCATGGGCACTAGGATGGAGCACTATGTCAGGCTCTGTGCTCACCACGGAGTCTACCTGAGATCCTCTCTCTCCCTGGGCACTCCCCCCACATGCTTGTGTATATGCACTCTCTTTTTTTCAAATAAATAAACTAACTTTAATACAAAGTAAATAAATAAAATATTAAAACATCCTTGAAGCTAAATCACTGTACATTTACAATTATTTCCTTAGGATAAATTACAGAATTTCCCTTCCCTTATTTAAATTATTTTTAAATTATGTTAAATCGGGCAGCCCCGGTGGCGCAGCGGTTTAGCGACACCTGCAGCCCAGGGTGTGATCCTGGAGACCGGGGATCAAGTCCCACATCGGGCTCCTTGCATGGAGCCTGCTTCTCCCTCTGCCTGTGTCTCTGCCTCTCTCTCTCTCTCTCTCTCTCTCTCTCTCTCTCTCTCGTTCTGTGTTTCTCATGAATAAATAAATAAATAAATCCTTAGAAAAAATAAATAAATAAATAATGTTAAATATGTTTCTCTTGAATTCATAACTTATATGCTTTCTAAGAAAGTGCAAAAACCTATTATTTTCAAATATATGGACTTTTTCCCAAAGCACTATAAATAGATTTAGAAAGAAAATGCTATAGTAAATTTCACAAACCCAAACATTTTAATGACTCTTACCAGTTGTAACAGAGCGAAGTTTATCTAATACACCATGAAGCCTGAAAGAAAAAAAAGAAAAAATTAAAGCTTCATCTAGAAAAGATTTTATTTCAACTGTCACTTGAAATCTGATGACATTACAGAATCTTCAGATATAAGTATTGATAAATGGCACTAAATGGTACTTAATGAACAAATACTATAATAATTAAAGAAGTGCCACATTTTTAAAAAAGGCTTACATGACTACTATAGAAACCAATAAAAAATCGTACGTCTTCATTACCTTCAACATGTACCTTCCATAAAAATAATACCAGAATACCTATCTCATTATGTTTCACCCAGAACCCAGTCACATGCTACTGTCCCTTGGACACAATTATTGCAGGACTCCAAACAATCATAATAGTACATTTCAGGGTGGTGTCAATGAACACCTAACAAGGGAAATAAAATCCCCAGACACACCATCACTTGCATCAGCACACCTTAAGGAATTTATAGCAAGATAAGAAAGTTGGATTAATTTGATTTTAAATTCAAATTCACCTAGTCCTTTAATATAATAAATTTGTCCCAAGCATCAAGTTATCTATCTAAGAAAGGATCTCTCAATCTCCCATAGTATGGTTAGTGGGACTCAAACCAAAGCGATCCCAAAGTTGAATCAAAAGTCATAAATCATGTATATGAGACAAAATAAATACCTGGACTGCAGAAGACTTAAGAAAAAAAAAAAAGTACTCATGATAACTTCTCCAGTCAAAAGGACCAGTCTCTCTCTCTCTCTCTCTCTTTTTTTTTTTTTTGTAAATTCTGGGGACTAAGTGTAAGGAGTGGGTTAGGGCATCCACGCTACAGTAGTGGATGTACCAAAACATTTGAGATCAACCACTGCACTGAATGTCATAGAAAACTGTGTAATATAAACAGAAAATTCTTTGTGGTATTTCAAGAAAACTTTACAAGACTTTTAAAGCATATGGTAGCCCACAGGGGCAAAAACACCTTCAAGACAAACTTTAAGAGCAAGATGTTGGGCAGCCCAGGTGGCACAGCGGTTTAGCACCACCTTCGGGCCAGAGCATGATGATCCTGGAGACCCGGGGTCGAGTCCCACGTCACATTCTCTGCATGGAGCCTGATTCTCTACCTCTCTATCTCTGTCATGAATAAATAAATAAAATTTTTTAAAAAATAAATAAAAGCAAGAAGTTAAACCAGTTTCATATCCCTCCTTAATGCCTCCTCTATCACCTCTCCCAGTCTCTTGCCTTTCAAAGCAAGCATGCCCCCTGCTCACTCAACTTTGCTCCATTATCAACTTGTGCTCTAATTGGCGGTTCCCAGAGGGAGGGTGCTTATAGAAGTACTTCCTGATCTCTTCTCAGCCACATCATTACCCTCCCCAGACCCGCACTCTACCTCAAACCTGCCTTCGTAAATTGAATCTTATCCTTGTAGTCAGGTATTCCCAAATAAAGGCATGTACGGTTTGAAAAAGAACACAAAAATTATAACATGGATTGTACTTGAACATAAAATCATCTTTTTAAAATTCTAAAGTTCAGGAAGTTCCAAACTTTTAAAAATGATTTGAAATTTTGTCCAAAAACTCTGCCCCCTAAAAGTTAACTGCTGCAGAAAGCAACATAGGAAGTCAACTCAGCCCTCAAAATACATGAACTGGTTCTGGTTGGGGGAAAGAAATAATATGCCAAAGTTTCCAAAAGAAACATAAAAACTACACAGTTAACACAGACTAAGGACTTACTATGGGTCAGGCACAGGTATATTACACGTATTATTTCATTTAATCCTTACAACAGTCCTATAAAGAGAATTTATTAATCCCATTTTACAAATGGAAGAACCAAGGCAAGAGGCAGATCCAGGATTCAACCTCAGCAGCCTAGCTCAGAAGCTGTGCTCTCATGGCTCACTATCTTCCTCTCCTCAGTGAATCTGCCTCTCTGGTCAAGAATCTCTTTTCAGACAGAATACCTACTCTGACTTGTGCCAAACTTTGGTCTAAGGGGTAAAAATTCAGAAACGTACCAGACGGTGAATCGAATTGTGTTGTTCCCTAGAAACAGGGACAGGTCCTCTGTCATTTGGTCCTGACTTTTCTTGTTGGCCACCATCACCATAATGTAATCAGGAAGTTCTTCATCTAGTTAAAAGGAAAAGTATATAAAAACTTTTTTGTTTTCCTCAATACTGTCTTCCACTTAAAAGTTAATGTACTTGAAAATATACATATAGCTCTAAAAATTAGTATCTCAGCTCTACTAGAATTATATTGGACAAGAAAGTATAGCTTTTTTCCTCTTCATTCTATAGGTATTTCAATTACTAAAAGGATGGGAATTAGGAACAACTAACAAGTACTTATAAAACCAGATATTCTGAATTACAGTTCAAACTTGAGAGTGTATTCATTTCCTTTTGATTTTAATAATGCTCATTAATTTCAGAGAAGCTTCCAGAAGGTATAAGGATATTCAAGAATAACAATTGCGTTTTATCTAGTTTTGTGTTTGTCTATGATTAAACTGATATTCATTTCTCAAGAGAATACCTTATCCTCAGTAAAGACAGATTTCTATTATCTCAGGTAACGAATTTGTACCAACAGCAAATAAACTAAAATCACCCCAAAACTCCACATCATTTAAAAAATCTAATCATAAATTTAAACAATTTCAACTTCATTCACTGTTTTATCCTCATACGCTCCTACACAATGATTATGAAGGTGAGGTGTAGGACAAAAAAACAAAAACAAAACCACCACACTAGGAAGCAAAAGCCATTTATCAAGAACTCAACCCCACCAAAAAAAAAATTTCTTTCAGATTTCTTTAATACTTTAAATATTCATATTTATAAGTAGGCAGAAAGGTTCATTTCAGAAGTACTATCAGACAAAAAAAAAGTACTATCAGCCATTTGTTTCAAGGAGAATTATCAAAACTCCAGGTCAAGAAAAGGACAAATATACTCAGAAAGCCCAATCTACAAATGGAAAGAGAGAAATCTAAGTTTTTTACTGCTCAAATAGTATTAATATACAATTGATTTATCATTTTATGTCAATGGACATTTAGATCTCTTGCAATTTTATACTAATAAAAAAATGTAAAGAAATTTTAGAAGTTTAGGTGGCAATCCTACCCAAACATTACAATTATTTGGTTAAAAAAAAAAAACACAACAACGCAGGTGCTATGGGCTGTGCAAGCTATTCTGTTTTACTTCACGACAGATCTAGAAAATGGTAATATTTATAGGGTGCACTGGAGTAAAGAGAGAAAATTATTCACAAAATAAACCAGCCACTCTGACTCATCAAACACACCCAGCCACCACAAGTGCTAAGAAAAAACAAATCTCAACAGACTGAAGTTTTCCCAATTTCCAGTATAATAATGTGCAGGTAACACTAGCTAAGCAGCTGCTACAAAGGAGAGCTTCTCGGGCAGCCCCAGTGGCTCAGCAGCTTAGCGCCGCCTTCAGCCCAGGGCCTGATCCCGGAGACCCGGGATCGACTCCCACATCGGGCTCCCTGCATGGAGCCTGCCTCTGCCTCTGCCTCTGCCTCTCTCTGTGTGTGTCTCTCATGAATAAATAAACAAAATCTTAAAAAAAAAAAAAAGAGAAGAGAGATTCTCAAATTTAGCTGCACATTAGAATCTGCTGGGAAGCTTTAAAAAATCTGCTTATGTCCAAGCTCCACTTCAAATAAATTAGAACACTGGATTAAGACATCAATACTTTTGGGGATCCCTGGCTGGCTCAGCGGTTTAGCGCCTGCCTTCGGCCCAAGGCGTGATCCTAGAGTCCTGGGATCGAGTCCCACATCGGGCTCCCTGCATGGAGCCTGCTTCTCCCTCTACCTCTCTCTCTCGGTCTCTCATGAATAAATAAAATCTTAAAAAAAAAAAAGACATCAATGCTTTTCATTTATTTTAATGAGGTATAATCAACATATAATACTCTATTACTTTCAGGTATACAACACAGTACTGGACACCCTATATGTTACTCAGTACTCACCACAGTAACTGCAATCATCAACTGTCACTATATAATGTTATTACAGTACTGACTATACCCCCTGTACTGTACTTTTCATCTGTGACTTATTTTATAACTAGACATTTGTACCTCTTAATCTTACCTAGTTCACCCATGCCTCACCAACCTCCCCTCTGGCAACCACCAACTTGTCCTGTGTATATAAAGAGTCTAAGTTGGCTTTCTAAAATCATTTTATTTTTTTTTAAGATTTTATTTATTTATTCATGAGAAACAGAGGGGAGAGAGAGAGAGGCAGAGACACAGGCAGAGGAAGAAGCAGGCTCCATGCACCAGGAGCCCGACGTGGGACTCGATTCCGGGTCTCCAGGATCACGCCCTGGGCTGAAGGCAGCACTAAACCGCCGAGCCACCGGGGCTGCCCTGATTTTATTCTTTATTTAAGTAATCTCTACCCCCAACGTGGGGCTTCAACTCATGACCCTTAGATCAAGAGTCACATGCTCTACCAACTAGTCAGCCAGGCACCCATTCATTCTGTTTTTTAGATTCCACATGTAAGCGAAATCCTATGGTATTTGTCTTTCTGTGTGACTTATTTCACTTAGCATATACTCTAGGTCTATCCATGTTGTTTTAAGACCTCATTTTTTTCATGGCTGAGTATAAGCCATGAAACTATAAACATACACAGATATATACAGTATCTTCTTCATGCAGTCATCTATCAATGGGCACTTGGGCTGCTTCCATATTTTGGCTATTGTAAATAATGCTGCAATATAATACAGCAGTGTATGTTATCTTTTCGAATCAGTGGTTCTGTTTTCTTTGGGTAAATACCCAACAGTGGAATTATTGGATATGGTACTTCTTTTTCTGATTTTTTGAGGACTCTCCCTACTGTTTTCCATACCAGCTGTACCATGCTGCATTTCCACCAATAGCACCTAAAGGTTCCTTTTTCTCTGCATTTTTTTTTAATGATTTTATTTATTCATGAAAAACACAGAGAGGAGAGAGAGAGAGAGACAGAGATACAGGCAGAGGGAGAAGCAGGCTCCATGCAGGGAGCCTGACGTGGGACTTGATCCTAGGTCTTCAGGATCAGGCCCTGGACTGAAGGCGGCGTCAAACCGCTGAGCCACCCAGGCTGCCCTTTCTCTGCATTTTCGCCAAGGTCCGGTCTCTTTGATTCTAGCCATTTTCATAAGTGTAAAGTGGTATCTGTGATTCTGGTTTGTAGTTCCCTCAGGATTAGTGATGTTGGTATCTTTTCATGTGGCCATCTGTAGGTCTTCTTTGGAAAAATGTCTATTCAGGTCTTCTACCTTTTAATTTTTTTTTTTGATGTTGAGTTGTGGAAATTTTTTTATCATTCTGAATATGAACCCCCTTATCAGATGTACCTTACACAGGTATCTTCTATTCAGTTGGCTGCATTTTTGTTTAGTTGGAGAAATCTGAATATTTAATGAAATCCTGCAATATGGGCAGCCTGGGTGGCTCAGCAGTTTAGCGCCACCTTCAGCCCAGAGCGTGATCCTGGAGACCCGGGATCGAGTCCCATGGCGGGCAAGGAAGGAGCCTGCTTCTCCCTCTGCCTGTGTCTCTGCCTCTCTCTCTCTCTCTCTCATGAATAAGTAAAATCTTTTGAAAAAATATAAATCACGCAATATGATATGAGGGAATATAAGTGACAACAAGAAGTCAATCATTTATTTTCTTTGTAGAGTAACAAAAGGTTCCAATTTTTTCTGGTAACTGCAATAAAATAAGCCTGGTAGCTTATTTATACAAAGTGTACCTACGTACTACAGACTACCACTGATAACCCAGGGAAAGTCAACAAGAAAAGTCAGAATGCTTTGCCAGCCTTCACAAATTTTTCTCCTTCACAATGTCTAAGATGAAAATGTGCTTTCCTGTCACTACCTATTAGTTTGCATTTTCTAAGATTCAGTGTGAGATCAGTGGCATTTTCTAACATCCAACATGAGTACAAGGTCAAGGAAGGGGAAGGAGGGATACAAAGGAGCCCCAGGGAACTTCTGGGAGTGAATATGTTCATTAGTTTGACTACTGTGTGATATTTGTGAAGACACAGCAAACTGTACACTTTAAACACAGTTTAATACACCAATGTTAATATATTAATTAAATCTCACCAAAACCATGAGAAATTCATACTGTTTTCTCAGTACACAAAACAGAAATTAAGAATCTAATGAAGGGATCCCTGGGTGGCGCAGCGGTTTGGCGCCTGCCTTTGGCCCAGGGCGCGATCCTGGAGACCCGGGATCGAATCCCACGCCGGGCTCCCAGTGCACGGAGCCTGCTTCTCCCTCTGCCTGTGTCTCTGCCTCTCTCTCTCTCTCATTCTATGTGACTATCATAAATGGATAAAAATTAAAAAAAAAAATTAAAAAAAAAAAGAATCTAATGAAAAATTAACGTGTTTGTGATACATTTCCACAGACTTCGGATTTCTCAAATTATTTGGAATCTGTAAACTAGGGGAAAAGCGTTTGGAGGTTTATGCAAGCTCAGGCTTCTAAAACATGAATGAAATTGTTAACTATACTCAAAAAAAAATTAAAATAAAAAATAACATGAATGAAAGACTATTCTAAATTGTAATTGCCTTCCCACTAAAGTGCTTCATTTTAAACATACGAATGAGTAGTTATCACTCTTAAGAGTTGTTTGCCTTTGTATCCCACCCAATACCTTGAAGATTAATACTCAAATATTAAAGGATTGCTTCCATAACCTTAAAGGTTTCTAGGACTCTCTTCTAAGCAAAAAAAGGGATTAGATTAGCAAGTCACCCTTTCCAGATGGACAATGATGAATATACATACAATTAAGTAACTAATTGTAAACTTAAACTCACAATGTATACTTTTATTTCAAACACTCTAATGGTAACTCGCTTTTCTACTTAATTAAAAAAAAAAATCCTGCTCTCATAACAAATATTAAGTCTCTGCCCAAGAAATGTCCAGTCAAGCAGCAGACCCACATTGAAAAGCTAATGTCGATCACTGGAACCGACTTCAGTGGAGTTCCACAAGAGGATACAGGAGTGACTCCTTTACCTTTGTTAGCATCAAAGACACAGAAGACCTG